CGGCCCCGTGGGTGTTGGACTCTGGCAGCTGCCAGGGGTCTGCCTGCCCTGCAGGATCACGGACATGTCCAAGGTGTCGATGAGCAGCCGCCCGGAGCCCGGCTACGAGAACATGGACCACTTCTCCATCAACGTGGACTATGTGGCGGAGATGCTGAGGACCATCGAGTTCCAGACAGGTGCCGGTGCCGGGACAAGCACTGCCGTGCTCAGGGGTGTGTGGGACTGCCTGCGGCACCCGGAGCCCCCTGCCACCTCGCGCCCTGCATGGGGATGTAGCCCCTCGTGCACAAGAATAGGGATGCGTGGCCCCTCAGCACTGCCCAGGGACCCTGCGGGGCGCGGCCTGCCCCATGACCCTTCCTGGCTCCTGGGCTGCTGTGTCCCGTGCCAGGGCGAGGCTCCCACACTGGGCTGGTCACATCCCTCCTGGGGGTCCCCGGGCTGCCCATGCCATGGGGAAAGAGGGCCCCGGCTGAGCTGTCCCCATGCCCTGCAGAGCCGCTGGGCGAGGATGAGGCAGACGGACCTGGGGATGGCAGCGAGACTGCGGCAGATGAGGACCGGCTGGACAGCCTGGAGGTGCCCGAAGCCGCGGAAGGTGAGTCCCTGCTGTGCCATGCCATGCTGTGCCGTGCCATGCCGTGCCATGCCATGCTGTGCCATGCAGTGCCTGGCTGCTGTGCTTGGCCCCAGGGCTGCAGGAGCAGTTGGGGCGCAGTGGGGCCCAGGGGGCTGGGGCTGCTGTGCCCATGGAGGGGGGAATGTGCCATGCCACGCCCAGCACCGTGGCTGTGTGGCTGCGCCATGGCCTGCATGCGGCTGCACAGGTCCTGCAGCGTGCCGGTGCGTCTCTGTCTCCATCTTGTCACCTACTTTCCCTCTGCAGATGTGGGGCCGAGGCAGAAGCCGGCGAGCTCTCCCCATGGTGAGACCCTCACCGGGACTGAGGCGGGGGGGATGGGGCCAGGCCGTGGGGTGCCGTGGGGCAGAGGAGGCACCTCCTGGGGACAGATGGGATGGGGATGGGGATGGGGATGGGGATGGGGGGAGTTCACACCTTGGGGCTCCCAGGCTGTCCCTGTCTCCCTGCCTGCGGGGCCAGGGCAGGGATCCCAGGGTCCCCGCCGTGCGGTGCTGAGGCCAGTTTCCCGCACAGGTCAGCACTGAGCCAGCGCTGTGGGGCAGCATTGGCACCCGCTGGCTCATCGCTCTCCCTGGCATGCCTCGGCAAGCTTCAACCCTGCTGCTGTAGTTCCCCAAATGCTGGAGCTGCCCCTCTCCGACATTAAACTGTGTGTGAGGACATTGTCTCCGGTGTGGTGTGTGGGCTGGGTGGGCAGAGGGGCTGCCCCCAACACAGCTCCATACCGGCTCCATGGGGGTCTGGCCTGGGCGCAGCCCCTGCCGCACTGAGCTGGCCCCCAGCCCCACCACCCCAGTAGTGCCCCTGGGACCCCGCGCGAGGGGCTGCGTCCCTGGGGAGCCCCTGCGCAGCTCGGCTCCAGCAGCCCAGGGTGGGATTGCGGCTGGGAGCTTCGCACTCCGGACCCTGCGAGTGGGGCTCTGCCCCCCTGCCTGCAGCCCCAGCCTGGGGGTGAGGAACCGCAACCGGCCCCGCCAGCCCCCTGCTGGGCTTGGCGCCATCTCGGCAGCACCGTCCCCTGGGTGCACCGAGCAAACAGCGCTGGGATGAGCTGGCTGAGTACACAGCCGGGAGCGCCGCAATCAGCGCCAGGTCGGGGCCCACGCCCCCTGCCCCGCCGGCTGGGCCCCCCAGGAGGGCCGTGGCAGTGCTGGCTGCGTCACCCACCTCGTCCCGCGCCACCATGGCGTCACGGCTGATGCAGCAGATGATGCACATGGCAAGGGGCTCCTCGTGGGGCCAAGGCTGGGGCTGGACAGGTCCCCTGGGGCTGGGCCACCATGGGGGTGTCCCCTGCTGCCATCCCCTGCCCCTGCCGGGGTGCAGCAAGGGCTGGCTGCTGGGCCCGTCTGGGACCCCCGGTACCCAGCAGAGCAGGGCACCCCGCAGCAAGCCTGCTTCCCACCAAGCTGAGCAGGGGCTGGGGTGCAGGATCCCGGAGGCTGGGTGAGGACGGACCCGCAGGAGTGGGGGAAATGAAACTCCTGCGCGTGGCAGGTCCTGGTGAACCTGGGATGGGCCCCAGTGGGGTGCCCGGGAGGCCGGCAGTGCCCTGGCAGCCAAGGGGACCCCTGTGCCTGGGCTGTGCCAGCAGGACCCTTCCCCTGCCACCGGCTGGTTCCTGGCCCAGTCTGGGCCCTTGGGAACAAACAGGCAGGGCCACCCGGCCGGTCAGGGGACGCCGGGGGGACGGGAGCTGGGCTTGTGCAGCTGGGGGAGATGGGGCCCCTCAGCTGCCTCCTGGGGTGCAGGGAGCTGGAACCAGACCCCCCCCCACTGTGGCACAGGGACAGGGCAGGGGCTGGTGACACAAGCTGGGACAGAGGAAATTCCCCTTGGATACCAGGAAAAACTCCTCCCAAGAGCACAGCAACCCTTAAAACAGGGCTGGGGAGTCCAGAGCAGCTCCAGCCATCCCCAGCACGGACCCTGCTTGGGGCGGGGAGGTGGGTGAGAGCGACCAGTGCTGGACCTGAGCCCACCATGGGACACGGCACTGCATGTGCCCCCACGGGACATGGCCTGGCGCGGCTCCCGCCTTGTGGCCCGTGCTGAACTTGCTCCCGCTGTAGATGTCGGCTCCAGCTGCACGGCTGCTCTGCCTGCCCAGGGCAGGACTTTGCCTTTGTCCTTGTAAGGTCCCCGCTGGCCCCTTCCTCCAGCCTGGCTCTGTCCCACTGGTGGCAGCTCTGCCCTCAGGCGGAGTCACTGGTCCCCACAGATTTGGGGAATTCACCTGCAAACCCAAGTGAAGGGCCCTGGCGCGGTGCCCTGCGACACTCACTGGCCACCAGCCCCCAGCAGCGCGTGGCTCCCTGAGCAGCCCGCTGCACCCGCCACTTGCCCACTCACAGACCCCACGTCCCAGTGCAGACACGCTCAGCTCCAGCTAGGGACGGGCTAAGGGACATCTCTGGTCTTCTGCGTCCCTGAGCTGTTGCTTGTGGCAGAGGCAATGCAGCTGCGGGCGGCATCGACCTTGTGGCCCAGCTTGGCTGCTCCCAGTCGCTGTCTGCTCCTTCACACATCAGAAATGTGCCCCGGGCGAGGCTGGGTAGCTGCTCCACCCCTGCACTGGCCGTTTGGGGAGCCCCAGCTTGGCTCTCCTCTATTTTGGGTAGTTTCCTTCTTTGAGCCCCGTCTCCAAGTGCTTGTCACCCGTCTACCCTCCCCAGCCCCAGGCTGTCCTTGGGCAGCCCCCAACTGCCCAGGGTGGGGTGGATGCTCTCCTTGACCTTGCTTGCCCCAGCCCTGGCTGGTCTCTGGCCACCTGACACCCTCCCCATGCACCCAGGCAAGGTTTTAAAATTCCTCCTTTGCTGTCTGTCCCAGCCTGTGTGTTCGTGCCCCCCTCTCCCCATGCTGGATCTCCACCCTGGGTTCCCAGCATCTCCATACCAGCCCCGGTCCATCTGTGCCGCTCCCTGGTGCCGGTGAGCTGGTGAGTGTGCCCAGAGTTCCTGCCTGGCGCTGGGGGCCCCAGCGCGAATGGGACCTGTTGAGGGACGTGAAGGGCAACAGCAACAAAAAAAAAAAAAAAAAAAAAAAAAAACCACATCTCTGCGGTGACACCGAGCTGGAGAGGCAGCAGCAGCGTGCCCAGAGGAGGTGGCCAACAGCGCCCTGGGCTGTGAGGGCCGAGCACTGGCAGCTGGGGAGGTAGGGAGCCCTCCCCGCCACGCAGCACCGGCAGGCCGTGGCTGCGGAGCCCTGGCCAGGGCAGGACTCCCCGGTGCTGGAGGCCAGGGAACGGCCACAGCAATGCTAAAGGGACTGGAGCGTCTGCTGCAGGAGGAGAGGCTGGGACTGCTCAGCCCGGAGCCGGGAAGGCTCAGCGGGCTTGAATCCATGTGTGTACATGGGAGGGAAGGGAGACAGAGGCAGCTCTTCCCAGTGGTGCCCAGTGATGGGACCAGAGGCAGTGAGCACAAACTGGACCAGAGGAGCATCCACGGAAACTTTTTTCCGAAGTTGTTTGGTTTTTTTTCTCAAAAAAAACCCTCTTTTTTTTTTTATGGCGAGGCTGATCAAACAGGTTGCCTGGAACAGGCTGCCCAGGGAGGTTGTGGCCCCTCCAGCTGTGAAGCTACCCGCGGGCTCACCGCGGGGCGAAAGGCCGCTGGAGCTCCCCTCATCCCAGCTGCTGCTCGGGCAGGGTCCCCTAGAGCAGGTTGTCCCGGTCTGTGCCCAGCCGTTCTGAGTACCTTCAAGGAGGGAGATACTCTGGAGAAACGGTTCCAGCACAGCCTTTCCTGGCAGTACAGTCTTCCAGGTTTTCTCATGTCCAGATGAAATTTCCTCTTTCAAAGCCTGGATGGACACGACCTTGAGCAACCAGCAACCAGCTCCGGCTGCCCCTGCCCTGAGCAGGGGGTTGGAGTGGGAGATCTCCCGGGGCCCTTTCCACCCTCAGCCATCCCGGCATCCTGTGGCCACTCTTCAGCTTGTCCTCAAAGGCCTCCGGCTTTGCTCAGCTCCTTCGTCCTTTGGAGCTGCCCCCTGCCAGACCTCACCTACCGGGTCACTGAAGGCTCACTTGAAGTCCAGGGGCTACACCCTGCTGCCTGCATTCCTGCCTGCCCCTGCCTGCCGACCTCCACTGCCTCGCGGCTGCCGCCATCACAGCCCTAAGCACTCTCCAGAAGCCGCCTTCACTGCGCCAGTCCTGCTGTGCTGCCCTTCTAGCAGGGATTGGGGAGGTTATCAGAGAATCATCAAATCTTAGAATGGTTTGGGTTGGAAGGGACCTTTAAGAGTCATCGAGTCAACCGTCAACCCAGCGCTGCCAAGGCCACCGCTAACCCATGTCCCCAAGCACCACATCTCCCCGGCTTTTCCATCCCCCCAGCGATGGGGACTCAGCCCCCGCCCCGGGCAGCCTGGGCCAGGGCCTGACAGCCCTTTGGGGGAAGGAGTTTTCCCTAATACCCAACCCAAAGCTGCCCTCCAGCCGCTCCTCCCCAGCCTTGGGCTCCAGCCCCTGCCCCAGCCTCGCTGCCCTGCTCTGGCCACGCTCCAGCACCTCACATCTTCAACCAGAGCAGGTTGAAGGCCCCTGTGAGGACCAGGGCCGCCCATGGGGAGGCTGAACCTCCCCCAGCTGGCTCACGAAGGTTTCATCCATGTCCTCCTCTTGATAGGGGGTTTGAAACATGTCCCGCTGCAGTGTCCCTCTCCCTGCTCTCTGCTCCAGTCCTGACGCACCAGTGCTCAGCAGCCCCGAGTGTCCCACAGAGGAGCCCCCCCCCCAGTGCTCCTGTGGCCGTGCCCCCAGCCCCTCGAGCCGTCCCGCCCTGTTGCAGTGCTCTGGCTGCAGGTCTGGGGGCCTGCCATGCACAGAGCTCTGCTGCCCCGCTCACGTCCCCGGCCGCCCACATGCGGGTGCAGCACCTCTTTGCCCTGCTCGCTGGTGGCGAGGGACCCGCTGCGCCCATCGCTCGGTGTCCTTTGCTTCCCACCACACCCAGGGCTGCCTGGGAGCTCCTTCCTCCGGGGACCCCACGGTCCGTCCTCCCCCCAGGGACACGCAGCCCCGTCCCCAGGCCCGGTGTGCTCGGTGCTGCCCGCCCGGCTGCTCCCGCCCGGCCCCAGTCCCGGTGAGCCCGGCCCCGGCCCCGGCCCCGGCCGCCCCC